GAAAAAGAAAAAGAAAAAGAAAAAGAAAAAGAAGAATTCCTTCAATTACAATAGGGCCTTCGCACGTTCAGTGCTCGGGCCCTAATTAAACGCACAGAAAATGATGGTGTCTAGTGTTTGCAGCAGATTGCATGATGGAAGTTGTAGTGTTTGTGTGTCTCACCCGTTGGAAAATGAACAGGCCTTGCTGTTGGCATCAACAGCTGCAGTAGCTGCTGTGGCTCTCAGATGACAGGTGATGTAGATCTAAAGAGAAACAAAGACTCATTTCAGTTTGTACTAATAGAAATTAAGTTAAAACGGCTGGGGAGGAAACCAATTAGAAATGATAACGCCAGTTAATTTCAAGTCAGCAGTAGATAAACAATAACAATACAAGTGAGCAGCATGTTTGAGTCTCACCATGCCGCTGTGGTCCTGTTGGAACCTGAACGCCTCCACCTCAAACTGCAGTCTGTCGTCCTGAGACTGAGGAGAAGGAACTGAGAGTTGGAGTCTGTCAGTTGACTGTCAAACAGAACACCTGAACGACCGTCAGACAAACAACTGACCCCAAAAAAGATCGGAGGAAAGCCTATGTATGAATAATGCATGTATAAAAAAATAAAAAAATAAATATAGGCTACATATGCCCAAGGGACAAACATTAACAAAAATAAAAAGCTCGATCCACCCAGATATGTTTTAATTAAAAAGTCTTGATCACATCCCTTTCTCCATAAGTCAAAACTCAAACTAGTTGTGATGTCACAAAATCATGCTCATACGTAGGTTAAACTGAGATTTAAAATGAGCATTTAATCCAAGGGGTACAGTAACAGTAAAAACCACCACCAGTACAGTCAACTGACCCGTTGTTTCCCAGGAAGGTATATCGAGGGACGGTGTCAACGTTTGGGACCATGGTGGCCACACAGCTGTCCACCATCACTCTGAGAGGGATGTGATAAAACTGTTTGACCGAAACTTCAAACTTCATCGTGTCTCCCAGCAGGAACTGAGCGGATGGACGAGAGAACTGCCAATCATCTGAGTCATGGGACAAAAAGACGTCAGGAACATTCAGGATGGAGATAACCTTTACAACATGTCAAATCCTGTGGCTTTCTATAATAGAGAGAAAGTAACCAAGAACCGAAATACTGTAGGATCTAACATTTTTAGGTTTGTGTACTTCTCTTCATATTTAAGAACTATAGTTATCGGTAAATGGACCACTTAAAGTGATTGTATACTACTAGATACTGTTTAAATTAAGACAAAATTCACTTTAAAGATTAAGCCACCAAAAGTATATGGAGCGGTTCAAATTAGCTCCACCTTGACCAATAACATCAAAAGGACCAATTACATATTAATACATCTAGAATAATGATCCAATATTACATTAGAACAACAATGACAGTAGGTACTCTGCATTATACTTTTACTTTACTGCAGATTTTATGCTGATGGACCTGGTCTCACTCCCAAGTCATCAAATATTGCAGCTTGGTCAGTGGCTGTCTGCTTCAGACCAACTTTATCATTTATGAAGTTGTAGCAAACACCCACCGGTCATCAGTCTAAAGGAGAAGTAGAGACTTTCTTCTGAAGCTTTGGTGGCACTGAATGGAGTCCAGGTTGGCACCAACTGCCCGCTGCTCACATCATGCTTCCTAGAAACAAACAGCAAAATCGAAAAATAAAAAAGCAAAATAACAGTTCAATGGAACAGAAACTAAAATGCCAAACTCAAGACAAAATCAAAGTTCTTCAGGTTCAGTTTTATAAAATCTGACCTTGGGTAGTGACAATCGATGTTGACTGTGACGTCTCCGGTTCGGACGATTTGACCGTCCCCCAGAGGACTGGGAGTGTAGAGCAGCGTGAAGGCATAGATGAACGAGTCCTCAGACATCTGAAACACAGTTTACAGGACACCTTGAATGTCAAGTGTGAAGACAAGTTAAAGTTCCATCAAATCAAATTACCAACGGTAAAAGTGTCTCTGGAATTTGTGAACCCATAGAGAACCAGCAACTGTGCAGACTTTTAAAAAGCACACGTTTATAAGATACAGTAGTAAGTACATTTTCAGAAATTACTAAACTGTAAACTGTGTCTGAAAGCTTACCGATATGAAAACTTGGATACTCAAAATCAGTCAGATTTCAGAGTCCACTCATGGTCATTTGAACAAATATGTTTTTGTACAAAAATGCAACTGATTAGCTCGAGTCAACCATTATTATTGTAAAACCCTCACCAGCAACTGGCTGCCACATCCATGCAGCTCTGATTCAAAGACCAGTGCCTGAGCTTCGGGATCTTCCGCTGTGGCAGGACATCCTCCCAACGTGACGTCTGCAGTCTGGACAGGTTTGCCGATCCCCAGCAGGTCTTTCTTGGCCTCCACCCGGATGGAGTTCTCCCTGCAGACGGCGCTGACGCTGTCAGCTGCTGTTGGTACTTTCAGCTTAAAGTCTGGAGGGAACAGAGGCGCCTCTTCAGCCGGTGGAGCCGGGTATCTCCAAGACAAAGGTTCAGTGAAAGACTGCTTCTCCTGGAGGACATCTGTGAAGGAAAGGCTGATATTATCAATCAGTTTGATTTGTTGTTAAACTACCAAGTATGACAGTTATAAATACCACAATTGTACTTAAAAGCTGATTCTCAACCTTGGAAGCTGACTGCTGTTTGTCAACTGATGAATACATTCATCTCTAATCATTACCAGGAAAACCACCAGTTTGTCCTAATCACTGGAGTTGTTTTTACTACACGTAAAACTAAAAGATTTCTCAGGAAGCATACATCTACCTTTGTCCTGACCCACTAAAACCACAAAGTTAAAGTGGGTTGTCTGCCTTCATGTCACAGGGGGCAATAATGAGCCCATTACAGTTTGGTAGAGCCGAATTTATCATGAGTGTTTAAAGTTTGCTCATAATTGACTCAAAACTGTTTTTTTCAGCATAAATCACATTCAGAATTCTTCGCCACAATAATTAGATACAGGTCGGATTTTTTGCAATGCAACCTCAGTGTAATCAGTCACATCAGAATTTATGTGACGTTTATGTCCCTCTAAATTTCTATTCTATATCTTATCTTATCTTATCTTAAATACATTTCATAGCTCCAGATTTTGCTTTTTCCTTTTAATTATTTTAATTTTTTTTTAGTAATTCTGAGATTTGGACTGTTGGTTGGACAAAACAAACATTGTGATGGTGTCACTTTGGGTGGTGGGTATTGGTGACTGCATTTCTCACATATTTTCAGAATAGTAAACAATCAATGGAGAATCAGCATATTAATCCATAAAAATATTTATAAAAAGGTCTACAAATAAATAAAATAACATGAATCAGTAACAACAGTTTTTTATGCCATTAACTGAACGAAAAGGTCTGGGGACTTTTAGTGGATCAAGTCTACCTGCTGGTTCCAGCCGTTCTGGTCCCTGGTCTCCAAACCTGCCGGCTGCAGGATGCATGTGCCAGTTTAAGGCCTGAACTGCTGCTGAAGCGCCACAGAGCAGGCAGAAAATGATTGACAGCTTCATGCTGAGTTTATTCTGTGTTTCCTATGTTCAAAACAGATTCACCTGTGCAGCAGGTGGTTTTATAGAGCTGATGTTTGGCTCCGCCCATCATCTGATTGACCTGATGGTTCTCCAGCTGCACCTCGTTCTTCTGCACCCTCCACCAACCTGCTGGCACTCTACTGAGCTTCATTTTAACACACTGAACTTTACATTTTTTTCTATAAATATCAATTTTCATATATGCAACTGATCAGGAAGTTTATTCCTGACCTTTTCTCATTCACATTTCTGTGATAAAATAAGTGTCTTATACAGTGGTGGATGAAGTATTCTGGTCCTTTGCCTAGATAAAGGTACTAATGCCATACTGTAAAAGTACTGTGTTAGAAGTAAAAGTCCTGCATGTAACTGTGACTTCAGTAAAAGTATCTAAGTATAGTCAGGAAAATGCATTTTACTGTTGTAGTTGGTTAATGTGGAGCTCAAGTATTTTTTATTTTTATAGGACTGCAATAATGATTATTTTCATTCTGTATTAATCTTCTGATTGATTGATTAGTTTGTGAAAAATCTAAAAATAGTAAGAAATGCCATCACAATTACCCAGAGCCCAAAGTGACACCGTCACAATGTTTGTTCTGTCCAACCAATAGTATAAACCTGAATATTATAAATTATAATTATAATTAATATACAGTACTATAAGGTTGAACACAATTTTACAATTCTGTATTGTTTCCCTTTTATTAAAACATTTTTTATGATGAATGACAACATGTTGTATGTTGTAAGTATAATGAAAATAAAACCCAGTGGAACTGAGAAGAAGAAGAAGTAAAAACCAAGAAATAGCTGATAAAGAAAACAATCATGTGAATATTTATTTACATACATTTATTTTAACCCGGAAAATAGTACATCAAAAGTTTATTGCAAACAAAGGTCAACAGAACAGAAAGTGGCGATGCTGCTGGCTGTGGTGTGAGAGAGTGGGTGGACAGACAGGAGGGAGGCAGATCAAAGCTGTAGCTGTGACTTATCCTGGATCAGCTCGGCTCAGTATCTAAGACTGGTACTCTGGGTCACATAACACAGGAAAGTCCAAATCTTGTGTGTTTATTTGCTCACACTTTATTATAAGTGGTACTGGAGAGCACCTCAGTGTTCCATGTCTTATTAAAGTTTTTGCCTCTCATTCACCTATTCACTCCACACGCACGCGCACCGATGGCATAAAGCTACAAGGTGCTGGCCTGACCACTGGGAGCAATTGCCCAAGGACACTTGTGGATCAAACCGTCAACCCTGTGATCAGTGGACGACCCTCTCTATCTCCTGAGCCACAGCCAGCCCTTATTCTGCCTGGAAGTCAAACTTCCACTATAATGGACGATAAAGTTGTTTGTTAATCTACAGAAACAGAGTGAATTTGAATTTAAGTGCAGTGGTTTTAAATCTTAACTGATGTTTGCCATAATAATAGATTCACTTACTAGTTTTATCGAGATTTCAACTGTTGATCGCTGTCTTCCTCAGTCGATGGGGTTTGTAGGCTTCATCACGTGGCTTTGGTCTCTGGTGTCTGATGTGAATGTCCTCCTTGATCTTTCTCTGGCTTCCACTGAAACACTGTTTTGTTTGCTCACGGAGGGAACTGTTGGGTCTGTAAATAGTTTTCTAAGGAGTACGGTCTAGACAAGGCAAAGTGACTTGAGATAATTTCTTTTTTTTGTTTACATTTTGATTTAGCACTATACAAATAACATTTAATTGAATTGAATATACAGTATAGCCATATAAGAGATTTTTGTAGGTCTATGTAGTGTGCGTGTGTGTGTGTGTGACTAAGTAAGGTCCTAACGGAGTTCATTCTGTTAAAAATTGTTTATGAATCATTAGAGGCAGAAAAACATGCTCTCCCCTGGTGTCCTCCATATAAATAATTAGTCCAGCCAAGGTCACACTAACACTAATGCTAACACTAAGACCCACACAGACACACACACTCTGGTTTCCTGGTGATGGAGATCCTGAGAGGGAAGAGATAAAGAGAGAGTGCAGTGAAAAATGAAGATGAGGAGGGGAAACATGAAGATAGAAAACCAGCACAAAAATCTGACATGTAAGTTATACAAAATCTAACTTTTTAATGCTTTTAATTTGTAATATATATATCATCAGTATCCAAAACATGTAAGTGACATACCGTATGTGACATGGATGTATATCTCATGTTAATGTTAATTAAATATCCAGCCAGCTTTTGGATTCAAACCTGACAGCTTACTTCCACCGTATGTGCATGTATTTGAAAACGGCATCAAATTGTCCCATATTTTAATTAAATAAATACATGGATGATTATTAGTAGTAATTATTATCTTTACCTCTGTAAAATAGAAAACATATCTTTGATACTGCAAGGTGAAAATGACATATTATGACAAATACGTTACCTGTGGGCTAGTTCATATTGTTCTAATATTACACTGTGCTTTTTGTTCTTTTTAGATGTAAACATATATTTAAATGTTAGATATATGTTCATATAGGTAAACATTTACAAAAGTCCCACTTTTTTTGTGTCAGTGTCAATGTTTAATAAGATGGATCAGTAAGTGTTGTGGTGTACAGTTTGTTTAACTTTATCTTTAAAACCTGGAAAAGAATGTGAGATTTATTTTATCATTATTGTTGCAGATAACAGTATTATTGTTTAGTAGCATTGTTTGAATATTTATAGGAGAGGATTTGACCACCAGGATACAGTATATTTGTGATTATTGTGAGTGTGTGTTAACATTAGTGCTAGCTCTCCCTCCATTCATTTCATGTACAAACTGCAGCAGCCTCCTGGGGCTGTTAGCTGCTCACCTTCACTGATATTAATGAGCTCTTTCTGCTCATTTCCTTTATTTATTAACCGCTAAAAGCCAGAGGAAAGAGGTGTGTGTGTGTGTGTGTGTGTAAAGGGTTCAGTCGTTTAAGTTTAATGTCGTGTTATTTTTACGCAGACGTGGCTGTTTTCTTTCTGTTTTTTTTTGTTTCTGGAAAACGAAGCAGTTTGTTAATGATGATGATGGCAGCAGGTTTTTGGGACGACCTTGATGAAGGAGCGGAGAGTTTTTAGACGACAGAACTCTGCTGTGATGGAACTGGTCACAGGCAAAAGGACAAATATATAATAATAAAAAAAAAATCGTTATAATACTTTATTTATTTCACATGAATGGATGCAATAGTGTTATTTATGAAAATGTTAAAAAATATACATAAAAAGACAGATGGAACATAAAAACCCAATAAAAAACAAAGATGTTTAAAAATACAAATGTATAAATATCACACTACTTGTTACAATACTTTTGCATTACTCCACACCATTACCTGAATCACGTAATATGAACGGCACTTAACAAGCCAAACACAAACAAACTCACTAGGGTTGCCCGCTCACCAAACTATGGCTTTATACTAGACCACTCATGGTTATCAATGTACACAGCAAATTCAGGCAAAAAGTAGTGATAACACTTCATGAGAAGGAGTATCTCAAATGGCTGAAGAGCCTCTCCAGGGACTCACTAGACAGTGTCGCTGTGTTTCAATTCATGGATATTGTAAGGAAACAGTTCAGGATCTGTCTGACCACGACTTCAAATATTCAATGATTTCAGTGTCGGAGTTGAAGAAAGTTACTTAAGTGTTACTGACAAATATAATGTTATTACATTATTATATTACATTGTAATGCATTACACCCAACACTGGTTATCAGTGCAAATGTTAGCATGCTACCGTACTAAACTAAGACGGTGAACATGGAGAAGAATAAGATCAGAATGTTAGCTTTGTCATTCTGAGCATGTTAGCAGGGTGATGTTAGTGTAAAGCTCAAAGGACAGGTGTGCCTTAGGAAAGCCTCACAGAGCTGCTAGCAGGAGATTTTTTTTGTGTGCCATTCTTGACCAAATAAAATCAAAATTTTTGACTTCAAAATCTCCCCTCAAAAACGCCAGGGGCTAGAGTACAAAGACACAGACAGGCTTTTATTTCTATACTTTGTACTGTGTATTTGTGCCTGTACAGTTTCTTTGTGGAGGTAGGTGCTCGGACAAACGGGGTCAGAGGTCATCAGAAGACAAGCGAGTGCTGTTGTGGAATCTGCTGAACAACGCACTTCCTATTTGATCTCTGACCTCGACCATCCATCCCATAATCACATTCCTGCTCCGTCCTCCTCTGCTCTCCAACTCCTACAGTCACACTGAATCAGAGAAACTGGCTGGTGTGTCTGGTTTTATGAATAAATAATTATTATTCCCCATCCAACGCTAAAGTAAATCTTTAAACCAAAATAAACAGCAGCAGGAACAGTTTGTTATATAAAGTGCGGAAATATTGACCGTGACATAACTTGGTCCTCTGAACACAATCAGAGGTTTTATTTGTGAATCTTAGGTGAACTTATCTTGAAAACAGTTTTCTCTTATTTTAAAATGAAGGTAAAGTTCATCATGATCTCTTTTTTTATTTATTTACTTATTGCTTATCTTATTGTCTCAAATAACTAATCAATTTCTTGTCTATAAAATATAAAAATGCCTGTTATAATTTCCTGCAGCCCAATGATCTATTTAAATAGCTTGTTCAATTTATTAAGGTATATAACAAAGAAGCCATTCAAATCCTCACATTTGAGAAGCTAAAACCGGCTGAATGTTTGGCATTTCTGCTTGGAAGTTTACTAAAACAATAGACCTTTTTGACATGAAATAGTAGGGGAATCACACGTGTTACCAATGATACTAATTAAGGTTCTGTTCCACTTAGTGTAGCAAAGCCTTTCCATTGAGCCAACATGCACAACAGCAGCACCCTGACTCTGTTTGAACTGAATGGAACTGAACCTTAATTAGTATCATTGGTAACACGTGTGATTCTGTCTGCAAACTGTTGCTGTTCTATAATTGATTACATTGGGCTACCAGGGCGCCCTATGTTTGAAATCTAAATGGTTCATTTCACACTTGCTG